AAATCTTCAGCTTTACACACTCCAAATATGTTGTGCTTTAGCAAATATGTACTTGCTTGTGAATATTTATAGCAGCCATAGTCTATCTAGAGTATGTGTAAAAATATATGAATATAAAGAAGTATTTGAGAATCTACAAATAAGAATATATATTAATAGTAGACATAGACTTAGTTTTTTAAGAAGTTTATAATCCAGTGTTTTACAATCATATTAGCCAAATTCTTAATTCAATTTTATTTGGTATTTCTCTTTTATCTGAATCCTAAATCAGGCCAATTGAAATAGCAGATGATTTAGAAAGCACTGATAGCATATATATGGTTTCTGACTTTTGGATGACATTCCCTTATAATAATTAAATAATTCTGTTTTGTTATAATTAAATCATATATTTAGAGTACTTACAGCATATGAAATTCCAATATAAAACCATATATGTACATATATGTACTTAGAAAATATCTAACCTACTATACACAAAACACTAAAATACATTGTGGTGGGTCTGGAATTTAGCTCAGTGGTGCCTCCACCTGCCTTGCAAGTGAAGGACCTGAGTTTGATCCCTGGTTCCAAAGCAAAAACAAAAGAAAAGAAAGAAAGAAATATCTTGTGGTTAAAGATAAATTCTTCCAAAAAAATATTTCTGTATGAGAAAATATTTTATATAATAAAAGAATATTTTCATATATCAAGATAATTTCCTATGTTTTCTATTTTTGTTAGACTTTAATTTGGAAAATTGAGTCTTAAACTCTGTAAAAGCATGCACTTCTTTAAAGTGTTTCAAAATCTGGTTTATGATTGTGCAAATGAGCAACTTTTCATTTTATAAAGATACGGGTTATCATGGGAATTCACATGGGGTGGCACTGCTCATATTGTGTGACTTTGAGCTAACCAGTGCAGTTGTTTGAATTTTTGATAAACTGGATATCATGGCATTAATTAAATCTTGTGCTCTGTGAGCCTGAATATTAGTAGAGAAATGGATCACACATAAGAAATAGAGAAAATTATCAACTCTTGCCAAATGTTAAGCCTCCCCTGAAGTTTTCTTGTAATAAAAATTTATTTTTCAATATACCAGGCTATACTGCCAGACCAATAGCATCTCCTCATGACTACTTTAGAAACACAGACCTCAGTGAGGCCTCTTAAGACCAACTTAGAACAGAATGAGCTGCTTTCAATTCTACCAACTGCTCATCATATGACACCTGAGACAGGGAAGAGGTGGATTGGAATATGATCACCTTCCCCCTGCAGACTCATTTTGTGTTATGGTACTGCTGCCATTATTAGAAGGAGAGCTCAGTGTTGCTGAAGAAATAAGCAGAGTGTCCTGCATCTCCACCCTCTTTACGAGGTGTGATTGAATATATGGTAAATGTTTAAACTTGTAAAAATTATTACAGTAAAAGACACATTGCCACTACTCCCCCCTCCACTTTAAATGCATATATCCCACCACCTTGCCGCATTATGGAGCAGTCCTGGAATCCTTGCTTGTGAATGTCTTTTGTTGTTCTGTCATGGGTGCCTTGATGTGGAGTTCTAAACTGCTACATTTTACCTCTCATGGTCATTTTGACTTCAGTGAAAAGGCAGAAGTCACACAGTGCCAGATCAAATTAACAGGTGGATGAGGACACACTGTAATGTTTGAACCTACCTTTCCTTTGGATGGCATTTGGTGGCAGCATTTACTGGTTTTGCTGTTGTTAATCACATTTTATAAAGACATCAAGAAAAAGGATTTCCAGAACTGCTTCAAAAAGGGGCAAAGGTGTATTTGAAATGGATGGGAGTATTTTAGGGGGATTACTGCAATGCATCTTAATAGACTATAAAACATTTTTAAAACTTAAGCATTCACTGTATATTTTGATCACTGTCTTGTACAGGCATTGGGATGAGCATGGGGAAGCTGTGTCTTCTTGGAGTTGGGAAAAACCTGTAGCATTAGGTATAGTTCTGTCTGAAGGTACTGAAAGACAAAAGTGCTTTCATTTTCAGCTGAATACACATCTGCTGTGTGACCCCCCACCCCACATTCTTAACTGCATGATCTGCTTGTGTAACCTCGCTTGCTCAATCCTGTTGCCTGGGTCAAACAGCTTCAAGGTTAACTGTAGAGCCTTGTCTGATAGAGGGCAAATGGACAAACACCACCTGCACACAAGATGAGAAGCCCAGCCCAGGGATTCATCCTTGTAACAAGCCCAAAGTCGCATGCTTGTTCAACCTTATAGTAACCCCCTGCTTTTCCCTGATTTGGGGCTCCACCCCCTCTGAGAGTGAGGTCTAAGTGAGTGAATAAACTTCTAGTCCTCTGGATTTTCTGTCTCTGTGCCAGTAATTCTCATTTGGTCTAACATTTTTTTAGGCCCCAGTGAGATTACCAGATCTCAGAGACAGACTGAGGGTGACTTGCCTCACTCCTGGGCTTCCCTGGGCATCAAGATTGGCTCAGGACAGCCTCCCTGGCATCTTGTTCAGGGCCCCAAGAGCTTGCCGCCAGTGGAGGAGGATTCGAGGAGACCCTCAGTGGTCTGAGAGAAGTTTATCAGGAAGACTCCTCTAGAGGTAAGAATCTTATGAGTCTCAGAAAATGATCCTCTGGTGGGTAGGAGGAAAGTCTGACACGATGGTCATTCCCCTACCCAGGGCCTCTCTGCAATGGCAGGAGGTTCTCTGGTCTGTGTCAGGAGGGATTTACTTGGTGGAAATATTTGTCCATTTGTTTTGTCCTGTTTGTCTACTTGCTATGTGTGCCAATTGCCTTCACAGAGATAAGGCCTTCAACTATGGGATCCGGTCAATCTAAACCTAATAATCCTCTTGAATGTGTTCTACAAAATTTTAACAAAGTTTCTACCCCACAGAAGGCTGACGAGTATGGAGTTAAGTTTTCTAAGAGTACCCTTGGCACCCTCTGTCAGCTTGAGTGGCCATCCTTTGGTCTCGGCTGGCTGACCATGGGTTCTTCAATCTCCACCTTTACAGAGATTTCTGGCACCCAGTCACTGGCAATGGTGGCGCCACCCTGACCAATTTCCTTACATTGATATTTGGGTAGATTTGGTTGAGGAGCCTCCTCAATGGGTAAATCTTTGTCCTTCTCCATGATTGAAGGTCCAACTATCCAAACCCCCCGTTGGTCCCTGCATCACATTTATGTGGCCAGAACCTCCCAGAAAGTTCTTCAGACTACTCCTGAGGACAATGGGAGCTTTCGGCCATGACCTCTGCCCTACAATGACACAGAGGAAGAGGAGGCACAGAGAGCTCTGTCAGATTTCACCTTGAGAGCCAGAGAATCACCCTCAGCACCTGAGGGCCCCATATCTCCACATCATACTAGGTCAGGTCTTACGAAAGTTAAGTTTCCCTTTGTACACTAATTTTGATTTTCCCTTTGCCCAGAGAGGGAAAATATTCTTTAAATGCTGAGATACTAATTATGAGGTTTAACTATTCCTGGAAACGGGGACAAAGAGAAAAAAGTTGGTTTCTAGTCAGTAATCTTTCTTATGATTTTAAGAAACCAGAAGAGATAGTGGTCTTTACATAACATGAAAATATGAGCCAAAATTTGCCAGTCCTCTTTTCTAATTAAAATAAAAGAATGTCTAATTTCCAGCAGAACAATTCTTTATTGAAAGGATTGCAGAGTAACTCCTAATGTGAGGATTCTTTCTAAGTGCAGTACTGGTCCATAAATATTCATCTACAAAGAAATGGAGATGTTACAGACACTAGATGAGCAATGAGAAAAAAAGAAAGAAAATGTCTTTTGTAATCTAAAGACTCTTTTGAAAGATGTCATGTCACCTAGGGAATTTGATTTGTCAGTTCCTAAATCTTACATGGAGACTGACTAACCCTCTATTTCATAAATAATTTATGACAGTAATGATTTGTGAGACATCTTGGAAGCATGTTTTCTAAAGATGGACACCTCAAAATGACATTGACCACATAACACCAGTATTTGGTATTATCCAACAAAACTTTATTTAGGTCCTGGCAGCAGAGGCTGTGCACTGCAGCGGGAACATGAAAGTAGACCATGGGAAGCTGGGTCCATGCATATTGACTGCCTTCAAAGGCAAGGCAAACTGGGCAACATCATTTTCATGTAGGTAATGAGTACAATGTGTCACATTATACACACTGGGCACACACTGAAACCTCAGACAAACCAGAGCAGTGAGTGAGTGTGGGCAGCGAAGAAACGAATCAGGAGGAATTTTATCATTAGATATTTGTCTAAAAACCCTGCAGCAATAATAGGAAAAACCAGACATGAGGATGAAGAAAAGTGGCTAATAAATTACAAAAAGAGGTGGGAAACTGTTCTGCCTCAGAAGACAAATGAAGAAATTGTTCCAAGAAGAGTGATGTTCAGGAAGGTTGCAGATTGAAACCCCCAGAACAGCAGGAGCTTGTCTCTTATTCTTCCTAACAAACATGCACTGGGTCTTTCCCTGCTGCTGCTTTGTGGACTTCAACCTTCATTGCCCAAAACAAGGCCCTAGACTATGAGGGAGCTGGTTACAGTAGGCAGAGTAGAGTGACTCATGACTTCTTCCATCATAGCTGGTTTTGAGTAGGTAGAGGTCCTCAGTTGGAAGTGCTTACATTGGCTTCAGCTTGGTGGCAGACAAGAATGAAGATACGAAGCTAGGAAGAACCAGAAAAGAGGGTAAGGAAAAGTGTCTAGTAATGAACATGACAAACTGGGAAACTGCTCTGCCCGAAAGTCAAAGTGTTTTCAGGAGACAAGAGGGATAGAGAAAAGTGCTGAATTCTGAGTTGCTCATCTGGGCTCCACAACATCTCCAAAGCCATGGATGGGACATAGCTTCTGTTAGATGTTGAAGAATCTGTTGGAATTTAGCCAGTGAAGTAATATATTTTAGTAAGGCATCTGTTTCTCTATGAAAGAGAAAATCACTAGTGAGAAAAGGACATTCATAAAGCATTTCGAATGGACTGAGGCCTAGAAGTTGAGTTGTATTTCTTATTTTGATAAGAATTAAAGGTAGTAAGTGAGGACACTGTGGGTGGTTCTTCTGAGTCATTTTGCAAAATGATTGCCATTCATTTTTTTCTGACTTTCCTGATGATTGTGGCCTCAGGCACAATGAAGGTGATAAAAAACGCCCAGTGCCTGAGAGATGCCCGGCATAACTGTCACTTTAAAGAAGGGCCATTATCCCTCTACCAGCTTTTAGGAAGTCCAAACCTGGGGATGATTTCTGAGACCAAAACCTTTACTAACTCTTGTGCCTTTTCAGAAAAACTGTTCACCCATTTTGTGAAAGTAGTTTCCCAGACAAGTAAGCACACACCTAAAGTCTAGTCGCCAATCCTCTCCAGGGTATTTGCCATGTCTCTGTGTACCTGAAGGAGCTATGGTCTAATTTAGAGGATTGTTCTTTTGATAGAGCTCACATGTCTTAACTATATGTTGTATTGTCTGAGAAAGCCCCTTTCCTATGAATAATTTTGAAGCTACATGCTGTGTCTTGTCTCACTCCAAATGAAAGTTTTGAAGTAATGACTTAATAACTTTCCATTGACTAGCACCAGGAAGGAACAATTTACTATTATCTGATTGTAACCATCCTGAGGAGAGAAACTGATGTCCTTGGGAGAAAAACCACTCAAATTTTGGCTGAGAATATTTGATTCGAATATGTTCAAGGGTGCCTTCCCAAATCAGCATAAATAGTGACTTTTTGTCCCTTACTTAGTTGTAAGGCCCTGGTCAGAGCTATGAATTATGAGTTCTGGTAACTGAGCACTAGGCCCAGGAGCAAGCGAGGAACTCTCAAGTGTCTGATGAAGACTCACTATTGCATACCCTGCCTTTCTTTTGCCATTTTTTTAATGAAGGAACTGCCATCAAAGAAAAGTCAAATCAGGGTAAGTTAGGGCTGTGTCTAACAAGTTTTCTCTGACTGCACATGTGTAGAAAGTTACTTGTTCACAATCATGTCTTTCAGCCTCAATTTCCTCCTTTTCTGGTAGAAAAGTGGCAGGGTTTAAGGAGAAACATGTCTTTATTGGAGTATCTGGTTATTCTAGAAGTAGAGCCTGGTACTTAAAGATATGGTTGTCTGATAGCCATAGGCTCCCTTTGCAGGAAAGAAGTCTTGCCACATTGTGACGTATGCATATAATTAGATCTTTGTCTAAAGTCAGCTGAGATGCCTCTGGCACTAGGAGAGTTACTGCAGCTACATCTCTGAGGCACACAGGCCATCCCTTGGCTACACTATCCAACTCATGACTCACATACCCTACAGGCTGTCGAGTGGGTCTCTGACCCTGTGTAAGCACTCCCAAAGCTGTGCCTTGCCTTTCATCAGCATGTGAAGTGAACAGGGGCACTTAGAAGTGCTTGTTGGAGCTTCTGAAATTCAGTCTGGGAATCAGGTTCCCAGGTTAAAATATTAGTGTCTGTCTTTTGGGCTTCCTTTATAAGCGGATAAAGGTGTCCCACTATTTCACCATATCCTACCATCCAAAGGTGACACAAGTCTGTAATTCCTTGGAATTCCCTTAGCTGCTGTAGAGTCTTGGGCTGTGGGAAGGAAATCATTGGTTTACTTCTCCCTTCCCCTAGTCTTCAGGTTCCTTTAGATATAATAAGGCCCAAATATTTTACCTCAAGGTTGTAAAGTTGTTCTTTAGGTTTGGAAATATTGTAACCCCTGTCTGATAGAAAGTTTAGCAGAGTACAGGTGCCTTGGCTAGAAAGTCCTTCTGAGGAGTCACATAACAGTGTATCATCTACATATTATAGGACCATGACCCGGGACATGCAAAACACACCACTTTGTGGGAAAACAATTGCCCAAAGAGACGAGGACTGCCTCTGAATCCCTGAGGAAGCACAGTTGACGTTAGCTGAGAGGCCAGGTCATGAGGATTTTCAACCCCCCAAAAAAAGAAAAGAAAAGGAAAAGGAACCCCCCACCCTGGGAATATGTATGTAAAGAAATGCAAAAGAAAGCATCTTTTAAATACAATACTGAGAACCAACTGTTGTCTTCCAGGATCTGAGAGAGAAGAGTGTATGGGTTATTACCATTGGGTGGATTGGCACTATTGCTGCTTCATTTATTAATCTAAAGTCCTATACCAACCTCCACTCTCCATTGGGTTTCTGAGCTCCCAATAGTGGAGTGTTGAATGGGCTACTGCAAACTTTAAGAAAACCTTGTGTTCTTAAGTGTCAATTATAGGTGATAACACTTGCTCTACTTCAGGCCTTGTAGGATATTGTCTCTGGTGAAGAAAAATAGTAGGACCTTTGAGATGTATTGGCCCTGTAGTAGCTTTTATTGCTCTGCCTATTTTACCTTTAGTTGCCCATACCTCAGGATTTATTTCTGTTTTTACAAAGGGAAAGCAGTGTACTTGACTGGGGTGCATATATATTATAGTATTTAAACAATATACAATATCTCTTCTGAGGGGAAGAACTGGACTTTCAGACACAATTAGAAAGGGTTGGGTAAAAGAGAAAGCCATCCCAGTTACAGCCCAAGGGTTGTGAGAAATAGTGCATT